AGAAAATCCCCAGCCAATTCCGTTATAGATTATCCCTGCATGAGAAGTTGAACTTGGCCTGGAAAAAAGTAGCCCAAGGAACATCGATGCACTGCTGGGCTTGTGTGCATCTCCCTCCTTCCAGCTCCACTTAGAGATACACAATCCCTACTGCAAAGCCTGAAACTCCTCCAGCTTCTGGTATTCAGATACAAATCTTTCAGTCTTACCCCACTCTGGTGCCCTCCAGGCCTGTGTCCTGTGAGAACCTGTCAGGGAACCATGTCTGCTTGCAAGTTGTCCCTCCTGTGCAGGTACTTATCAGTATCTGGGGAGAGTTTTGAAATCTTCAAGTTAAAAATGCACAGGTACAGTAGTGTGTAGTAGTGATTTGCAAGTCAGTCAGGATGTTTGATTGCATACGTGGCTGAAGGCACACTATCAATCTTTGTTGTGATTATTATTTCTAGTTTATGTTTCCTTTTATATAGAGAGGTGAAAGGTGCAAAGGAATTGGGTGCTTAACTGACTGAATCTTTGAAATTGGTTTTATACTGTGTCATTTCAGAGACACTATAGACATCATAACTATAAATTGTCCCTTTACATTATGTACTTTCTCTCCTCTTAGTTGATGGTAGTCCTTGCTCTGCTGCTGTGGGTGTTTTACATTTATCGGTACCCTAAATTTCATGTTCTTGTACTCAGAAAAGGTGGTTAGGTGTAAAATTGTTTTATAAAAAACGTTTACTTGTTATGCGTGTATAAATAAACATTTATAGTCTTTGAGGAATTAGTAATTTTTCCTGTCGTGAAGGAATGACTCTTTGTTTCATAAGAGTCTAGAGCACCTAATTTATTTTCAGAGTGGATTAAAAACTTAACAGAGTAGTTTAAAAGAATAGTGTATATGTAAATGTTCTCTGGTTACTATAGTTAAAACTTTCTTATTTCTTATGTACGTTATCTCTTGCTGGTTCCAAAGAGTTTTAAACCCGTGTCTCAATTAGCAAAGGTTGCAGACCCTCTAGAGAGTGACTTAGATTTATGAAAAAGGCCTTACATTGCGAACACCTCAAAAAGCTTTTTATTAGTTCAGAGGCAGCTGTGATTCACAGCACAATAAAGATAAACTGACCTTTTAAAGGCAAATATATCTTGCTGATTACTCTGCAGAGCTAAATGAACAAAGGTCTAACTAAGATGTTATATAACCATCTCTTTTCTAAGCCTTGACTGAGTCTGTAAGAGGTTATTTTGGCCAGGTATATAATTTCCCTTTGAATTTACACACTGCAAATGCTTATATATTGTCAGGAAATTCTGCTCTCCTCAGTACAGTTTCTACAGCCACAAATGCAGATTTGTCTAGTTTACTCTTTCACTGTTCTTAGAAACAACAAAGAAAATGTCACATTTCCAGAAAACTGAGTGACATCTGGAAAAGTTAAGAATCATTAATTAACCTTGTAAGAGTAATGCAAAATTTTGTAACTGGCCAAGGAAACAAGAATAGAGATTATAAAAGCAATATTGTCATCTTCCACCATCAACAGATGCAATCCTCTTACATTTGTAGAAGAAAACAGGGCTTCTTGCCAGCGGCTTTGACCTGGAGATGAAAGACTACCAGTGACAGAGCTTGATGAGATCTCACTAAGACAATACACCTGTAAAAAGTACACAGTCCAAGTTGCATTCACAATTCAGGTTTGTGGACATGGCCATATTCCTACATGACTCTGAAGGATGATAGTCACATGATGTCTAGTAAGGAAGGGTTAATCCCACCTCATTCTGCCTACTTTGCATTCTGGTACTTTTAAGTCGACTGTCTGGTACTCTGACGTTGATAGCTCATCATTGCAGAGAGATGACCGCACTCTGTGAGGATCTTCCCCCTGTGCATTAGGGTGTAAGTTGTACTATGATTCAGGTACAAGGGTGAGTTTAATCACGTAGGCTATCCATCCTGTTAAGTGTCCTCCAAACAGCCTGGGCTGACCACCATGCAGAGAAGACAACGGAGATGCCAATGCTCTCCTTTAGTACTTGCCCAGACAGTGAGAGACTTGATTACAGTGCTCGTCTCACTCTTCAGATATTCAAACTTCTCTCTCTTCCAAAAAAACCCAGTCTTTAGCCACGGAGCTGAAGAAAGCAAGTGCACTGAGACAGTGAGTTCCATCCTGCTTGCGGGAGGGATGTGATGTGCATTCAAGAGTACAAAAATCATGTTTGTAAGGAAAAATCAGAGAGGAAAGAATAAGACTGCAGCTTCTTGGTTAAACTCTGGGAGGACAGGCATGGGATCTTTTCCACAGCAAGGCTAACACGTTTCAGATTATACTGACACTTGATGAAAATAACACAGGGAACAAGACTCCAGCTCGTTAGGATGAAGTCATGCAGACCAAGTCACTCAGCTCCTATACAGCTGGCAGAGGCAGAGATGTACGATTTCAGGGAAAAATCCAGTGCCCTCCTTTCAGGGACCTGCAAGACTAAGACTTATTTCACCAGAAAGAATGCAGTGCTTGGCTTATCTGATCCATATGCACTACAATACTACTTAAAATTCTTATAAATCTAGTCACATGTGACTTCCTTAAGACTAGACCCCATGTTCATGGCAAAACCAGGTCTCCAGATACCTGACTAGTAGAACGTATAGAATCTTCTACAATAACTTCAGGGGGTTTATGTCAGAGAATACTTGTGAAAACAGAGAGAACTTTATATTGTTCCGTTTTTCTCCAAGTCTTAAGCCTGTGTTAAATTTTTTGCCCCATTATTAACCAGCTAAGTCCTTGTTTGCCTCTCACTAGTCTTCTTTCAATTAAGCCACTCCAAAATAATCAGTGTTAAGACTGTCTGTCCAGAAAATACATATAATTTTCCCTCTCTAAGGAGACAGTTATACATGTTGGATCTTTAGTTTGAAAAGAGGATGCTGTCAAAGTAAGGGAAGCAAATATATTTTTTGGACAAAAAAAGATTACTTTTGTCAGGTCCAAGGAGGGACTTGAGACCTCATACTAAAGAACAAAGTAAGGCAGAATCGTGACTCAGAGAGGCATTTCAAGTTAATGCGCTAGGCAATGAATACCGGCAAGAAAGGCCAGGATGAGATAACACAATAAAAGTGCGCTTTTAGTTCATTTGCTCTCTGTGCAATTTGAGAAAAAGAGCTGTTGTGTTCTCAGATTGCTACCTGACTAGGGAGCTTTTCTCTCTTGCAAGCAGTGGACAATTCTTCTCAGAAAGAGTAGCCACACATCAGAAAGTAAACAGAAAATGATCAATACTTTCCCACTTATCCTTGTGATTGACCTTTCTTGCATTGCCTGGAATATAGAGATGCCATATTCTGGTGAGGCAATAAGTAACTCAACTGTAGGGTTTATTTCAATTAAATAAGCTTGCCAAGACACCACAGGCATTGCTAGAACTTTGTACCTGTGTATCACCAAGGGTTGCCCACCCTTGGTAGCTTCAGTATACTATGTTTGTAAATAAGACTTCTGTCTCCAACACACGTCATTAAACACCTCCTGTGTCTGTTGCGAAGAGCTGTGCTGCAGCAGTGGGGTGGTGTAAGGTCTGGGGGCTGCCTTGGTGGCTCTGCTGGCTGAAATCAGGAGCCAGGTGTACAGCAGAGGGTGGAATGTTGCTGCTGAGAGGGTCTAGGCTCCTCATTCCTTCCTTACCTGCCCTTTACCTAAAACTATTCCCTTGTCTAAATTTACCGAATAAGTAAATGAACTTACTGCCTAAAGTTATTCATTTGCCTTTTCATTTTTGGGAAAAAAAAAAAAAGAAAGAAAAAGTTAAATGGTTCAAAGTTACTTCTTCTTTTTGTAACTGCTGCTATTGTTGCTAGCAGTTGGTAGCAGAACTGTTGCTGTTCCTGCTTCCCTGGAAATGAATCAGGGCAAATTTA